CCCCCCACTCCAACCCCCCCCCCGCTCCCTGTCTCTTGACTGCCCCTCCAGAACCTCTCTGCCCTTCTCCGACGCCCTGGCCCCCTTACTCTGCCGCTCAGACCACTGTGCTGGGGAGGAGGAGCAGGGGGAGGAGCTCCAGACTGCCGGTGCGAACGGCCGGCTGGTGATCTGCGAATGCAGGAAGGGAGGGAGGGAGTGCTCTCAGCTGCAGGGGAGAGGAGGGGGAAGTGGAGAAGGGGGCTCTCTCTGGCTGTCGGAGCCCCATGTAAGTGGCACCATCTGTCCGGCTGCCCTGTCAGCCACGCGCGCTCTGCATGGGGGGGGGAGTCCGGACATTTACAAATTCCCCCCGGACGCTATTTTTAACTCTAAAAGCCGGACATGTCTGGGGGAATCCGGACGAATGGTAACCCTAAGTGGCAGACCCAGCTCTGGTCTGTAGAGGGCTCAGTCTCTGAGCCTTTCCTAACAACTCATGGATTTGCCAATTATGTCTGCTTTTCCTTCCTTTTGCCACTAGGTGTAGCCAGAACAATTCACTGCTCGCGCTGACCCTGGCTACTAGAAGCTCTTTCTCGGTGGTGTGACAGCATCCTGGCCTATCAGCAGGGAGTTCTCTCTGCACCCCTGTAGCCTCACACACATGTCCACTGTCTCTGCCTCTCTGCAAAGCATCATGCATAGCAAGTGCTATATAACCAGAACAGGGACATGATCACCCATTGCTGCCCACTCCTTCCGGGCGTCTCCCCAGGGCCTGGATCTCCCAGCTGCTGCAGAAGGGCTGCCTAGGGAATCAGACCCAGCAGCTAGTTCTGGGGGCATGCTGAGGATTGGGGGCTGCCCTCAGATGAATGTGCTGCTGGCTCCTTCCATGCTGCCAGCTCCTTCATTGCTGCCATCACCCCGTCTCCTGCTGTGTGCTCCTTGCATGGAGCATGCCAGAGCCTGGCGGGGGGGGCTGATGGGAAGCAGACAGCTGCACCTTTGATCACAGCACTGGCAGGTTGTTTCCCCCCACTTTCATTATTATTATGTTAAAAATATTAAGTGAGCAGGCTGGGTGTCTCTGATCAGTATGTTCCTTCGGTAGCAGCTCTTGGGACTGACAGGGAGTGAGGGGAAAGCAGGCTGGGGAAAGCATCTCATTTGGTAAAATATCAATACAGGCCCTTGGGACTCTGTAAGGGGCTGAGTCACCAGGAGTGCAGGGCGCTCCCAGGATTGGGCCCCGACTCAGCAATACAAAGACCGCACTTGGTGCTGAGAACATTTCAGTAGCTTTGCTTTAAAGCGAGCAATTCCCCAAACCCACTGCTGATTCACTTCCGCGAGAGCACAGGGGCTGCGCGCGAGGGAGCTCACAGAGCTATGCGTGTGAAGGGGGGGACCAATGCATTCACAGAAATCGGACTTGTGAAAGCCCGTTGTGATTTGGGGGCATTTTGTATCCAACCCAGGTCTGCACAGCAGGAGGAAGCTCAGGAGAGGGGAATCTGTTATCTGAAAGTCAAGAATGGGGCCAGAGCAAACCCCTGACCCAACACCCCTCACCTCGGAGGGGTCTGAAATCCAGTTATGGCTCAGGCACCTCTCAGACAACCCAAAGCTGTCTAGCAGAGAGCAGGCCAGCCAGCCCGGGGGCTTGCAGTGCAAGTGCCAATGGGGAGTAGGGCACTGCCTGAGTGTGTGTTGGGGGCTGGGGATGGAAGCAGGCTAGGACCTCGGCTCTTCAGTGATTGTCACCGCATTCAAGGGGGGTTGGGCTGCTGCCAAGTAGCCTGTACACGACTTGGCCAGGATTTGTGCATCCTTGTCACATCAGCAGCACCCACTGTGCGTGTGACAAGTTTGCACGGAGCAGGATGGCCCAGCTGTGCGCACATACAATGCTCCTGTGTCGCAGGAACATGGCGCCTGGCTCAGCCCAGGCATAACTCCACCGAACGGCAGCCTGCCTGCGTCGGAGGGACACACCAGAACATGGGTAAAGTGCGTTTAGTGAGCAAAGTGACGGACTCCTCAGATATCCTAGAGGGAAGGCGGGCGGGCCGGTGGGAGATAGCTGAGGTCAGATCAGATTGATAGGTAAGAGTTTGTCTTACGAAGGAAAATAAGCCATGCCTAGCACCTCCTGAGACACGACTCTCATCTGATTCACAGGAGAGGAGTTGTCTCATTCCTCAAGGCCAGCTACAATATGGTTTGGGCAGAACTCCCGGGGCTGGTCCCTGGGATGCTTGGTGTCTGGGCAGGGAGGGCCATGCCGTGAGTCCCTCCCGTGCTCCATGCCTTTCTCAGTAGGACCCTAGACTCTCTAGACTGTTTCCAGCAGGGGCAGGAGGAACCAGGCTGTGAAGATTCCTGGTGAGGCTGAGTCCATGGCCTCCTATGATGCCCTTCAATCCTATGAGACACACAGAGCCAGCGGAGGGGAGACAAGCCATTTTGCCAATGACTCACCAAGTGTCTCTAGCTAAGTCGGTCTTCAGCAAGTTGCTTCAGCCTTCACATTTCCTTTGCAGAAAAGCACCTCCTTTCGTAGGTGGACTGGGCCAAAGTCATCCTGAACAGAATCCCAAGGGTAGCCAGGCTACACCAAGGATCAGTTTGCCCCAGGCACTTGCCATTTCAGGCCTTGGTCCTGCTAAGAGCATGTGGCCCCTTGTGCCCAGACAGATTCCCACTGGGCTGAGTATACAGCACTCATGGCAGAGCTGGGCCTGGCCTGGGCTTGCTCCCTCTCTGAGCATCAGTGCTGGATGTTCCTTCCTTTTGGCTGACAACAGGCCCAGTTCTCTCCCTGCAGCATCACCAGGGGCTGGTATCGAGTTGACAGCACCGGTGGAAGCTCTCAGAAGAGCGTTAGAACCTGGCCAGTGAGTGACTGAGGGTCAATTTGGTTGAACAATGGGTCTGAAGCATCTCCGTTTTTCCAAAGCAACCTACATTCTAACTGGCCCTTCCGTCTCTGCTGCCGGGAATTTCCATCTGTTCAGCTCAACTCAACACTGGGGACTTTGCCCAGGGAATGAAAATTACAAGATCAAATGAAAGAGAAAAAACATCATCAACATTTTGCATGATCAAAGCCATTTAAAGTACCACTTGCCGAAGCGACTGAACTGTTTCAAGCTAGCTTCGTCGTGGACACTGGGTTACAACGGGGGCTGAACTGGAGTCCGTTTGCAGAGCCCCAAAGAGCAGGAGGGAAGTCCACACTTGTCATCAGACCCTGGGAATGAATGGGAAGCCCACTATCATCTGATGATGGCCCTGCTCATGATGACCGATGTCTGCCTTCTCCATTCCACAGCCATCTCCTTCCACTGTATCTCCACCGGAAACAATGCCAGGAGCTGACTGCACAGGGGGGCGGGCTCTGTAGTTAAGACATTTACCTTCCATCTGCTGGAGTCCCCAGGGAGACACAAAAAAGATTCGTAAATTGCCAATAAAGAAAGGAAAAAATTATACAAATCCCAGCAGGACAGGATGTCCTCACAGCACCCAGCCTGGGAGGGTGCAGCCCCTGCAGCTGGAGCTGGGCTTTGAAGAGCCAGCATAAAACTCCCAGCAATGCTGTCTCCACCCCTCCCTGGCCAGGATGAACTCGGGGTGGTCAGGGCTGGGTTCTGGCACCGCTTGGGTTGTCTAACTCGGGGACAAACTCCATCATGACCCGCCGAGCCAGTGGATTTGTGCTCTTGAGAAGCTCTGCTGCGGAGGTGCGAGTCCCGGGACTGGCCTTGCTGCCTTTCTTCTGTAGCAGGGCCTTGAAGTCTTCATTCCGACTGGAGGCTCTGCCGGGGCCACCCCCCGCTGGGGGGGACTCGCAGGCCGGGAGCCCGGCTGGGTTCTTCACTGGGGAGTGAGAATTCTGCCTGCTGCCAAAGGCGTCTCCTGGCTCCTTCCAGCCCAGCAGCTTCCTCTTCGACCTAAAGACAAAAGAAGCCTGTGGTTGGCGTGGCTGTGGCAGTGTGTGCCAGCTCCTGAGGTGGGGGCGCTCGCAAAGGGGCATTCCCCACAACCCCCAGGCAGGTGGCTGCATCCCACCCATAACTGTGGTTTATGCTTGACCCCCAGACATGTGGCCGTGCCCTCACTGCAACCCGGAAATGTTCCATCCACTGGAAACTTACGTATAACAGCAAATCCAGCATGGCCAATCAGTGCCGAAAAATGCAGAACCCAGTTACTTCACTGAGCTCCATGGCATAACATAGAATCACAGAATCATAGAGAATATATATACATCACCGAGAATAGGCCAAATTCACCCCTGGTGCCAGCCCTTGAAGTCAGTGGTGCTGCTTTAAGTATGAATCTGGCCCAACGCTGCCTGCAAAGGACTCTCAGGCCGGTGAGAGGTCCTGGCCTGGCAGCTCTGGACCCTGACCCTCTTCCCGCTGGATGCAGAGAGCAGAGGCAGAAGCAGGGAGTGCTAAATTCTGCCATGGTGCTACCCTCCTGCTTGACCCAGTGCCCGGACCAGGAGGGGAGGGGAGTTCAGCCTCTAGGTCACTTGGCACATCCAGTGTTTGGCCAGCAAGGGAGACAACTGGTGCCACTGGTGATAGGAGGGATGCGCTGTGGATAGCAGGAACTGCATTGAACACACCCACTTCCCTTCCAAGAGGCCACAGAGCAGCCAGCAGGTGGTGATGACCAGCGAGGAGCTACAGACTTCCCAGTCTCCGAGTGCCCCACAATCCCGCCAGCACAGAGACGTCCAGCTCCTGTGACAAGCCCTGGCTCCCTGGCAGAACTGAATGGGGCCTGGCCAAAGGGCTGCTGCCTCAGCCAGTGCAGACAGACGGGAGCCCTGGCCTGGTGCCATTCCCAGGGTCATCTCTGTGGCTGGGTCAGTCCCAGGCACAAAGGGCTCCTGGGGGCACAGGGTGAGACTCAGGTTCCATGTCTGGTCCTGTGCTGAGAGCGGGCCAGGAACACAAGCTCTGAAATAAAGGCAGCTGGCTGCCCAAGGCTCTTCGTGGAGCGCCGCCCAGCGTCCTAGAGAGAAATCCGTCCAGGCTTTTGAGCTGTGTGACAGTGCACTCTATATGGTTTTATGAAAGTATGCTGATGAGTGTGAATATAATGTAACTAAAATATGCTTCATGCAAAAGGTCTCTTGTAAGGTATCATTACAAAGCTTATAATCTACTGAGTTTGGTCATCCTATTTGTATGTCTGTATCATTCTTGTATCTGAAACTAGAAATATGAAATATAACTCTGAGGGCCTATTGTAATTATGCAAGATGTGGGCCATTAATGGTGGTTTAGAATCTTGATGGTTCCCATCAACCAGGACAATTAACTGTGGATGGCTCTGTTTGCAGGCTTTCCCGTGAGTCAGGCTGGGAGGAATGAAGGCTTAGGGTCTTACAGTGACATGTGATCACGTCACCTGAACTGGAATCCATCTTTAACCTGGTGTTTTTCCATTGAGAAGGAGGTGTGGGAACCCAGAGGGAAAAAGGATTCCTGCATTATGCAAAAGCTATATAAGTGGGTGGAACAGAACAAAGGGGGGTGGCCATCATGAGAAATCCCCTAGCAACCACCTGAGCTGGAACAAGGGCTGTACCAGGGGAAAGGACTGTGCCCAGACTAGGAAGGCGTCCAGTCTGTGAAAGAAACTTATTGAAACATCTCTTAGGGTGAGATTTTATCTGTATTGAGGTTTCTTACTGTATTAGGTATAGACTTGCATGTTCTATTTTATTTTGCTGGTAATTCACTTTGTTCTGTCTGCTATTACTTGGAACCACTTAAATCCTACTCTCGGTATTTATTAAAATCACCTTTTACTTATTAATTAACCCAGAGTATGTATTAATACTGGGGGGGCAAACAGCTGTGCATATCTCTCTATCAGTGTTATAGAGGGTAAACAATTTATGAGTTTACCCTGTATAAGCTTTATACAGGGTAAAATGGATTAATTTGGGGTTTGGACCCCATTGGGAGTTGGGCATCTGAATGTTAAAGACAGGAACACTTCTTAAGTTGCTTTCAGTTAAGTCTGGCTCAACTGGCATGTCTGGCTCAACAAGACAGGGTGCTGGAGTCCCAAGCTGGCAGGGAAAGCAGGGGCAAAAGTAGTCTTGGCACATCAGTTGGCAGTTCCCAAGGGGGTTTCTGTGATCCAACCCGTCACACCGGCCTCTCGATGAGCAACAGGCCCAGCACCACCAAAGTGGCTAGGGCTTGCTGCAGAAGACCCCAAGTGCCCTGAGACAGACAACTAGAACCGGGGTGCCATGGCCATCTCTCTTGCCCTGGTCTGCTCAGGGCACTCAGTGCTTGGGGTGAGGGCCAGGCCAGTAGCCCTGGAGACAGAGGGGCCTTGTTTATCCTTGGAGCCGGGACTAGCCTCACCCAGATGAGTTTATCTGTATTCAGGCTTGCTCAGTCCTTGGCTCTGCAGAGACCAGCCCCCAATAATTGGGCTGGAGACTCCCAGAGGCCAACAGTGGGGGGCGGGGAAGGATAGCTCAGTGGTTTGAGCATTGGCCTGCTAAACCATGGGGTTGTGAGTTTAATCCTTGAGGGGGCCATTTAGGGAACTGGAGTAAAAATCTGTCTGGGGATTGGTCCTGCTTTGAGCAGGGGGTTGGACTAGATGACCTCCTGAGGTCCCTTCCAACCCTGATATTCTATGATTCTATGGTGGGTAAACGCGACGGGGGTGTGGGTTTTCCATTCACAACGTGGGCTGGTACCTGTGGATGACGGTAAATAGATCCTCTGTCGTACGGGTCGTCACAAATACATCATCATCCTCTTCCACTATCGACTCGGCTGTTTTGTCACTTACAAAATTCCTCTCATCAGCGCTGAGCTCCACAGAATTGCCTAGACAGAGGGAAGAAGAGCCATGAGCTGGGCTTGCTGAGAGCAGGATGGAGGGGAATGTCCCCAGCGTGGCGGTGGCCTTTCCCAGGAGATGCGTGGAGTCAGCCCGTTGGAGCAAGCTGAGGATACCTGTATCCATATGTGTACCTGGCTCTGCACATTCCTGTGGCTCAACAGGAGCAGAATCCCAGAGTTAGTAACAGCAGCACCTGTCCTGCCCGCCTCCCTGGGCGCTGCGACTGACCAAATGGCATGAGTGTGTAGCTCCGCTTCCTGCACACACGCACTGCCTGGGAGACACCTGGGCTACAGTGAGACTCAGGCAATGAGCAGGCAGGGCTCTGATCCTGCAGTCCTCGCACAGGCAGCTCTGGCTGCTGGCCATGGGAGGTCTCAGGCTGGGCGTCCCAGGGTGCCCTGGCCACATCCTGGCATGGGTAGCTTCCCACCTTTATACCCCCTCTGGGGAACGCACCCCACCCTGCGTGGGCTGTGGGGAAACGCGGCAGAGAGGAGCCAGTCGCTGCAGCCAAAGCCCAGGCTCCTCACGTGCACAGAACCAGCTGCGGCGCGGCTGGACATTCTCTGCCCTGTGCTCACTGACTGTTTGTCCAACCCCCCCCTTCCTCCCTCAGCCTCACTCCACATCCGCCCTCTTACCCTTCCTCTCCCACCGAAGTAGCTGAACCCTTCTTGAGTGCCGCCCCACTTGCTGCCCTGCCATGGGTCACTCTGCTGGGGTGTTCTACCCCTTCCCCATGTCTGCCCTGGCTAATGGACCATGAGAACTGTCTGCAATGCTGTGGCTGTACAGCGCCTAGCACAGCAGGGCCCGTTGGCACCATTGCAATGGACATGTTAGCTAATAAAACCCCCTTCCCCTCCTCAGCCGAGGGAGCCTTCCAGTGCCCCTGGGGCGGGCAGGCCAGGAGAGACCTGCTGACAGGAGCCCAGCAAGCCAGGACCAGGGCTAGATTAGTCAGCTGCTACCTGCCTGCCGGCGCTTACTCCACCCTGCCCTTTGGGGCAGCCCACTTCTCTTGCAGACACATTCCTCTCTCTACCGGGTCTGTTACATCTCTGGGTTAGTCAGCAGCTGTCATGCTCTGCCACAGAGATGGCTGCTTTTCAGGGCTGGGTGGGGCGATCCCTGTGCAGCGGTGTGGGTGGAGCTCTGGGGTCTAACACCAACGCTGTCGAATGGTGTCTGGCCATGCCGCAAGGAGCTGCGTGGCCAAGGCTGTATGCCCGGGTGTGCAGTGAGCCATGCAGAAGCAGCAGCCAGACGCCCTGGCTAGCTGCACATGGCAGTGATTCCCAAGCCATGCCCGGGCTGCTGGGGGGGAGGCAGAGCAGCTGTGACACTGACCTGCAGGAATCTCCCTGGGCATGGCAGCAGCTGGGGGGCTCGAGTTCTTCCCCATGGCCTCGGGTGATGGCAGGTAGTCTGCGTCTGGGTCGCAGCAGCTGGTGTCCTCGTGCAAGGTGATGATGGGGCTGGGCGTTAGCCTGGGATCCCCCGGGCAAGCTCCTAGGTGGGGTGGAGGAGGGGTGAGTGGCAGGTACAGCACACTGGGCTTCTTGGGGACAGGGGGTGGGACTTTGGCTTTCCTCTTCTCCCCCTCGGGCCCACGGGGGGCGCCACTCCTCTCCGGCTGGGCTCTGGGCTCCTCCTCCAGGTTGCTCTGGGACAGTCGCCGCAGTCCTGAGAAAAAGATCCCTGGGCAGCCCTGGGAGGGCTCCAGCAGAGAGGGGGGCTCTCCGGGGCTCCTGGCCTCTGGGCTCCTCTTAGGCTTGGGTTTCCGAATGACCATGTAGATGTCCTGCAGCCCCCTCTCCTGGGCAGAGATGCCCTGTGGCGTGGGCGGGGAGGTGGGAGACACCAGGGGAGACTCCTCCTGCAGAGGCGGGGGCTTGGCCATGATGTTTGGGGGACGTTTGGCCAGTGGTGGCTTCTCTGCAACGGGCGGCTTCGCTTTCCTTCCCGGAAGTGGTATGGCATCGCCCCCATGCTCCTCGGCGTTGTCTGGGCTGTCCAGTTCATCCTCTGGCTCGGACCTGCTGACGGAGCGCAGGCGCACGGACCTCAGGTCTGACTGGGTGACCACGGGCATGACGGGCTGGATCGGGCTCGTCTTTGGGCCAAGCTTGGTCCCGAAGGTGGAGTCTGAATGATGCCTGCTCACCTTGGTCTTCCCCTTGAGTGAGATCTTCAGCCCAGAAAGGTCCAGGTGCGTCAGGGGTGTGACGGGCAGGTCGAAGGAGAGCCGGGACTTGGGGCTTTTTTCCATGGGCGATGGGGGGGGCAGGGACGACTTCCTTTCGGGCACCAGCGGCCTCACCCTGACAGTCTGGTGGGGGGAGTGCCCGAGAATCGCCGAGGTGGGGATGGTGGGTGTCGGGGTCTCTGACTGGCTGGAGTAGCCACTGGAGGGGGACATCAGCCTCACGGGCCGCCCTGGGGAGGAGATTTTTAGCTCCACTTCCGTGGAGAGCTGGGAGGGCGTAGTGGCCCTGGAAATGGAAGGGGAGGGGAGGGACTCGGAGCTGCCCTGGGCCTTCGTGCGTTCGATCACTGTGGTACCCGTGGCAGTACTGGAACCGGACAGGGACCGGTAGGGATCGCCGGCTTTCCAGTCTGCGAGGCACCAGTGCTGGGAAAAATGCCCGCCGTCCAGGTCCCTGGCAGGAGGCACTGCTGTGTTACCCTGGGTGTCCGTGGGCACCATGCCACGGCCCTGAGGATCTAAGGGGAGACAAAGGCTCTTGGGCCGCAGCTCCTTCGGCAGCGCTGTGCCAGGCTCTGCGCTGAGCCCCTGCCCGTCTTTAATCAGTGAGACGCTGCGCATGGGGGGAGACGGTTTCTTCTTCGCCTTCTTGAGAGAGATGCTCTTGGAGCGGCGCCTCTGCTGGGCATCCTGCTCCACCCCCAGGGAGACATTCTCCGTGCTGGTGCTGCCCTCGGAGCTGACGCTGGGGTAGCTCAGGGCGTAGGTCCCGCTGCCTCTTCTGTTCTCAGGGTAAGTGATGTCCACGGAGCAGAGCGAGCCTGAGTCTGTGGGCACAGACAGCGACCTCTCGCGGAACGGGCAGGCCCTGCCCCCCAGCTCCAGCCGGGAGGGTGCAGCCTCCTCTGTGCCACCGGCCAAGAAGGTCACCTTGGCCTCTCTCCCCTCAGGCATCTGGCTGCTGGCAGCATTCAGTGGGGACTCTGGAGCAGTGCAGGAGAACGCATGGGGCCCATTGCTTCCTGGCTGCTCGTCTTTCGCGATGAAGAAGGAGGCCACACCGTCGCAGTGCTCAGGCGAACCCAGGGCTGGGGACCTCGGGGAGCTGCTGGGCGAGGGATACGCTGCGTCCTCCTCAGCCGGGCTCAAGCAGTTGAAGGAAGCTGTGTTCCAGGGAGGAGAGAAGGTGGTGTCCTTTGGCCCGTTGCAGGCAGGGCTGGTGCAAGCCGTGGTTGTGTTCTCCATCCTGGCAGGAGGCTGGTAGCAGCGTGCCTGCAGGCCTCCCCCAAGGTCACTGAATGTCTTTCTCAGTGGCGCTGCTGGGGGCGGTGGGGTGCAGGGCTGCCGGGGCACGCTCTTCCCATTTGCAGCCTCGGGGACAAAGCTGCAGGAGACTGACTCCCCGATGGTTGCGTGCGGCGTGAATGTGGGGCCGTTGCTGCTGCCTGCAGGGACAGACACAAGGACAGATCAGCGCTGAGCGAATGGCTAGTGGAGCTCTGGCCGCAGGATGGGCTAGCAAGCTGCACACTCACCCACTGCTCACAGAGAGCCCTGGGAACGACATTCACACCTATCCGCACCACTCGGCAGGCGCGGGTCTGCACGGCACCCAGAGCCCCGGCTGGCCTGCACTCTGACCCGCTACCGGGTGTCAGCGTGGTGCTGAGCTCTGCCTGGCCTCTGAACAGAGCGAGAGCTGGGCCCGCCCTGAACAGAGGAGACCCTCCACACGACAATCTCCTTCTTGCCATGCAAGGCGGGCTCAGCCATCTGCAGCATCAGTGCCCCACTCTCCACAGTCCTGTGTTCATGTACGGGAGGGGTGGGACAGGGCAGGCAGGGGGATGGATGAGCTGGGGTCAGGGCAGAGGCTCTGCAGAAATCGGCCTGGGAACCTCTCTGTCCTCCTGTCCCAATAGTGGAGCAGAGACCCTGGCCCTGCTAGGTCAGCTGCAGTGGAGCCAGTGTGGAAGGCCAGGGTTCCTGTAGGAATGACCCCTGTTCCCTGGGGTCCAGGCAGACCCTTAGGGATGCACCAGCTTTGGGAGCCTGCATAGAGGGTTCCCCTAGGGAGGATCTGACCGGCGGGTTCCAGTCTGGACAACCTGGCTATGCGGGTCTAAAGGCATAGCTGGTCTAGAGCTGTGCCCAGCCCTTGCCTTGCAGCAGAATGTGTGGCTGGGGACTGCTGACTCCCAGGGAATCAGAGCCACTGCTGGAGGTGGTGGGGAACAGAAGTGCCCCAAATCCACCAGGGGCAGAGAAAGCAAATGCTGGGGAAAGCCAAGGGCTCTGCACTGGCACCTGCAGCTTATCCCTGAGCATTAGGAAGGGGCACAGGAATGAACCCCCCAGGTGCCCCCAACATTGCAGATTTAACATGGCTGGATGCAAGCCCCATTCCTGGGCGCAGGCTTTGGCATCGCTTCCCTACCCCAGGGATGGGAGAGCACCCATTGTCCAGTACTGTCTGCTGGGCCTTGCGGTCCCCCGCGGTGAATCCACGCAGGTCTGCAAGTGCCAGAGGGGCTCCCCCCAGCCGGGCCAAAGCAGGGGCCTTTCCAACGGGGGTGAGGGAGGGCAGGAGCCCTGATAAAGGCATCAGCCCTCACTTTCTGCCCCCACTCCTAAGGTGGGAGGTACTTCACCCCACTGGTGAGACCAGACTCAGAGTCGCCCTCCCTCCTGAGTTAGCTGTTCAGAGCTCCTGGCAAAGCGAGGCACCCTCCTGTGCTCTGCTCCCTGCTCATCCCTAGAGCTTTCAGGGCAGAGCTCCCTGCACAGCACAACAGCACCTGGGCTAACGAGGGGCCAGGCCTGAGAACCGTGGAGCAGCCTCTGCTCCCAGTGACAGCTGTGCATGCAGCACCTCGCAGGACCGGGTTCCCTGGGTCAAGCACACGGAGCCATGTAACTGCTGCTCCCCCAGCTTCTCCTGCCCTGGACTGGTTGGGGGTGGGTGGGGGTTTACAGCTGCAGTCAGGTTAGGGGCAGGATCTGGCTGGGCTGAAGTCTCACAAGCTGTTCTCACCAGGTTCTGGCCAAATCCAGCTCCAATGCTCTTCTCAATGCATCCTGAGCCGTGGGGTGGGGAAGTCTGATTGCTGTCTCCCCAGGTTCCTGTCTCTGAGATGGGTCCCAATCCCAGCCACAGCTTCCTCTGGGGCCGGGCCTGGCCTGGCCCACACAGAGCCCAATGTGAGTGGGGTGATGGTGTTATCATGAGGGGTGTGGGGAGCAGGACAGGTCCCGAGACCCAAGGAGCCTCCCTTCCCATGGCTTGCAGCATGCCTCCTCACTCCTGACCTGCCGGGTGACTCCCGCCCTGCAGCCCACAGCACAGCTAGCAGCTCCCTCTGGCCTCTCTGGAGGGTGGTGCCAAGGCCTCTCCCCTCTGAGCTGGAGTACAGGCCAGCCGTGAGTGATTTCCCATCCCAGAGGAACCCTCCCGCCCTGCTAACTGCTGCCCAGCCCAGCCCAGCCAGCAGCACCAGCCCTGGTGGTGAGCAGAGCCAGGACTGGGCTGGGCTGCAGCGAAAGGGAATTCTCTGTGTCCAGGCTGCAGGACTCACCCCATGAGGTTCCCTTGGGCTCCCTAGAACCAGCCAGTGCTGCTGGGTGGCTCCCGACATCCTGCTCTGGAGTCATGGAAGAGGCTGGACTCCAGGGCTGTGAGGTGCAACTCTCTGGGGAAGAAGCTGCTTGTGCACCAGAGATCTAGCTGTCATTTTACCTCCACTCCCTTCCAAGAGCCAGTGTGAACAGAGCCCAAATTATCCCTAATCGCTTGTCAAGAGAGCATTTCACAGAGGAGCTGTCAGGAGCGTGAGCCCAGAACAAAAAAGACTGGCTTCCTGGCAACAGCTCCCCTCACACTCCCAGCAACTGCACTGCCAAATCCAGCAGGGAGCCGGTGCTGCAAACCAAGGGCCATCAGGGCAGCAGACCCTGAACTCTGTCCTCAGCCTGGGCTCCCCAGGGCTCAGATCCGAGAGGAGCTGCACACCCACCTCTCCTGGTGCTCAGCACCCTCCAGCCAGGCCCCTGGTGCTCACCCGGGGCACCCGCACCCAGGGCCCTCAGAACTAGTGGGCACTTCAGAAAACGGTCACACGGCAAGGCCCAAGTGAGGTCAGGAATCCCACCCTGGGTACCTGTTCCAGCCTCCTTCACGATGGACCAGCCAGCCCTGCTCCCCAGCTCAGGGTGTCAGGCTGTAGCTCCTGGGCTGGGGCAGCCAGGGGAATGTAGGACATGCCCCTGGAAGAGGGGTTCTGGCTGCCTGGCCTCAGAGCTAGAGAAGGCTGATCAGATCTCTGAGTTGTCCAGCCTGGCCTGAGCTCCCTAGGGTGTTAAACCAAGGTTCTGTGTGGAGTCCCAGGCTGCTTCTTCAGCCAGCACATCTCTGGCAGCGGGAGTGGCCCCGCCTGCAAATGAGGGCAGCCTGCGTTCGGCTCTGGCTGCACGGCCCCTAGCATGGCCTGGGGACACCTGCCCTTAGGAGCCACGTTCCTGGCGGTCTCGGAGTGCTCTCTAGCCTGGGACAGGGGGAGAGCAGCTGTACAGTTGTTGTTGTCACCTTGGTCTCGCAGCGCGAGGTTAGGGAATCCGATAATGGTCCGTCTCCGCCGCAGCGTGGACTTGGGGTTCACCGCGGTCTCTGTGTTAAACAAGGAGTGCCGCACACTCGCGTGCCTATCAAAGTGCTGTCCTGTAGCCAAAACAAACACACTGTACGTGGCAGCAAGCAGGGGGTATGGAGAACGCCCAGCCCGGCCCTGGCCTGGCTGCTCAGGCCACGTTCTCCCTGCGTTAACACCCCAACTCACTTGCATAAGCCTGCGTTGCACTGGGGTGAATTTGGCTCTTGGGATTTATAACAAAGGGCTCTGCCCTTTCCCCTGTGTTGTTCCCATTCCTACGTGAGCTCGAGGGCTCTCTGCTGGAGCATGCAGGCAGTCGTGGGGCAAGGGCCGGGCAGGGAGGGGGTGCCAGGGTTCATGAGTGGTGTTTGGGGAGGTACCAGGCATGTGCGGGGGAGTTGGGGGGGAAGAGGGGAGTCACACTAGGAAACTGCAAGCACCAGCACAGCAACACAGATGGTGAGCCACAGTCCTGGAGCCAGCCAGGCTGCAGGGCAGCACATGTGGCAAGGTGTGGGGACACGCACAGAACAAGGCGTGTGGTCACATATGTGCATATTTACACGTGTGTGAGTGTGAGGTAGACACATGCTGCTGGGTACAGCGTTTTGTGCATGTGCTTGGGACGCATGCCTCGGTTATGAGTGACATACTCCAGGGGAATCCTACGGGTCACCCACATACTGTCTGCCCACCCCCACTCTGCTTTCGCCAGGAACTCCAGACAAGCCACTCTGCAGACCTGTCACTCAGCCAGAGTGTGTTTATGGGCATTATCTGGAGGTGCCGGACTCTCATGGGCCCCACTGCATGGCCTCAGGAGAGGAATATGAAGACCCCCAGAAAGGCACTGACGGGGCAGACACCAGGTCACAAGCTGCAGGGCTAGAAACCAAGGCCTTGTCCCACTGGAAAGGGCACTGCTGGCTCCCTACGGCATAGAGCTCAGGTGTGTGTTGGCAAGCGGCCCTCACACCCATTGCTGGTTCGGAGCGCTGGACTTTGGGGCAGGCGCCCTCACCCCATCTCCCCAGGGATCACACCGCACCTCCTGGTGGCAAGCCAATGTCCATTTTATAATTGCCTGCTGGACAAAGGGGGAAGGCGGTCAGGCCAGTCCCTGCTCTTTGCTCTGGGAGCCAGCCCTGGTGGCCCAGGGCAGGCCCCACTGGGCGGGGGAGGGTCACTCTTGGCCATGGCCAGGCAGTGCTGCCTGAGGGGGCTGTGGCTGCCAAGGGCCAGCAATGGCAGCGCCAGAGAAGTAGGTCACCCCTGGCGTGCAGCAGCGTTGCATCCCCCCTGCCTGCCCGTGGCTGTCCAGGAGGCTGAGGGCTCGATGCCAGGATCAGGTTGGCGCTCAGGGAGAGGGGCTGGTTAGCAGTGAGACGCAGGCCTTTGGAGAGAGATGGAGTGATGGATGGGTGAATGACTCCCGTGGGGCCTCACACATGCTGCTGGGCAAGCCAGCCAGGGGGAACACGGAGACAACGGAGATGTGTTGATGGAGACACGATGTATCGGAAACCACCGAGACCCGTCCCCACCCTGCTTGGAGACCCTGGTGCTGGGCAGGAGGGCTCAGGGGCAGTCCAGGGACAAAGGGCCAGAGACATGCTCGGCAGGTTCTCCCCACAAGAGGGGCTCTGGCCACATGGCTCAGAGCCCCCTGGGCCGGGCTGAGGGCCTGGCTCCAGGAGTCTGATGGGGTGTGAAGGGAGGAGTCAAGGGGCCGAGCAGGCTCCTCTGGGGCTCCATACAGGTCTCGTGTGGCTCCAGCCCTGATCTCCAACAGGGCCTTATGGCAGCCTGGACACTGCTAGGGAGGGGCAGGCGCCTCAGCAGGCCAGCAGGAGGGTGCAGGGTGTCACGTTATTGATTTGAAGTGGGACCATATAGAACATGGTTGCAACCAAAGTCTTGTAGTGGCACCAAATCTTGCAAAAAGGGGGGGGTCAAATGAGGTGTCTAAGACAAGGTTATGGTTTGCTGGTTATGATTATGCTGTCTATATGTGTGTATCAATTTTGTAGTTGAAGTTATGAATTGGCACTCTCAGTTGGGTCCCGCCAGAACCGCATCGTTACAGTGGCGTAGTCGTGCTTGGATCCACAGAACCAGGTCAATTTAACTTTGGGTCAGAACCCCACGCTATCCAAATTTGAATTTTGGTATTGAGAGCTTTGTTGGTTAAAGATCAATGACCATGAGCCAGAAAGCACCAGCAAAAGCAATGAAACTGCAAGCCCTAATGGACAGCCTGCAATTTGAACATGAACAAAAACTGGCAGAAATTCGAATGGAAGAGAAGCAAGCCTTGGCCCAGCTGGAGAAAGAAGCTGATGAGAGAAAGAAAGAAGCTGCTAAAAGAGAAGAAAAAGCACGTAAGGAGCTTCTGGCTGCTGAGAAGAAAGCTCAACAGATGCAACAGGAGACAGCTAGACTCCAGCTCCAAGTCAAAAAAGCAATGGAAGAACAGCAGAAACCGTATCCTCTTGAAAATCCAGTTTATAACTATGTTGATATGTGGTATTACTCTGGGCAGTTTTCTGTGTTTAACCAGTTTTGCTATGGCCACGGAGAGGGGGATTCTAACCTGATGGGTAATAGCTGTTTGTCTGTGCAAGAAAGCAGTGTGTCTGTGAATGGAGTTTCTGAATGTCTATCTAATGTCTCAGAAGTGAATCTGGAATTAGATCAAGCACAGAAAGAGATAATTGGTCAGGAAAATGTTTCTCAGGAGCAGATTAAAGTAAATTGTCAGGTGGAAGCCCTAACTGAGGAAGGAAAGAGTAGATTTTTGATGGGTGAAATATTGGGGGCTAGTACAGCTTGTAAAAGTGAACCTGAAAAAGGTAACTGTGATTTGCTAAAAGTAGCTCAGTGTAGTGAAAAGAGCAGCAGTTTATCTGTTAGGAGTAGCTGTATGTCTGGTAAGGAAGAAGGTGTCTCCAGCTCTTCTTTGTCTGTGGAGCAAGCAGAGAAGTGTTCCTTTAGAGCAAGCCCTAGGTGAAGAGGGTAAGGGCAAAATTTCTGTGAAGGCTGAACTGTTGCTTAGAAAAGCTCCTGGGGAAAGGAACCTTCATGGTAATCTGTGCAAGCAGTTTACTGCAACTGAAGGGTGTGAAAGTGATTTAATCAAGAAACTTTCAGTTCCTAACAGCCAGAAATTTTCTGTTGTGAATGGATCCACTGACATTCCTTTTGAAAGATCCAGTGTGGGTAGCTTTGAAAAGGTCTCAGATGGAGTAAAAGCTATTAAGAAAGTTAAACAGTCCTATAACCAAGTGGCTGTGTTTGGCCAGCTTGTCAGGGAGACAAGGTTGTTGAGAGAGGAATGTCTCCATGCTGATTCTGTAAGTGAACAGACTGTGTCTCTGGTTCAAAGGGAAAACTGGGTAGCTGCGTCTGCAGAGCAGAACAGCTGTGTAGTTAATCTCTTGAGAATGCAGGGGATGGTAAGTGTACTCTCATCTCTAGACACTTTGGATATGACTTGTGGTCTCTCAGTGAACTTAACATCTAACCCCTTGGAAGCAAAGGTTGCTAAGGGAAGTCACAGAGTAACCCTAAAAGGCCCAAACCCCAATGGTATTGAGCCAAAGGTGTGGTATGACAAACATGATTGTAAATGGACACTTGCAATGAATTTGTTGGTATTGCTAATGGTAATTTTTGTAACTAATGTGTTGCTATTACCAAAAACTGTAAAAATATACAATGTGCCTAATCTTTTGGAAAATCCCTTGAACATGTTAAAAGGAGTACATGAAAACACACTTTATGTTAAAAGGCCTTGTTATACTGATGTTTCACAGTTAATGCCTGTAAACAGTATTGGAACTTTTCACAGGGGAAAAGACATTCCAGACCTAATGTGCTGTTTGAAAAGGGAAACTGAGGCACACTACCATAGTGCTTTCATGGCTAAATGCCAAAATTCCTATGCTATAAACAATGTTAATATCTACATTGATTTGATGTTAATTGGGTTCCAAACATTTGCCAGAGCTTGTATGGATAAAGTAGCTGTTTTCTTTAGTTCTTGGCAAGATCACATAAGACATACAGGAACCATGCTGCAAGAGCAGATCCAATCCACTATTGTTCTAACTAAGTTTTACCTTGAGTTTGTAAATAAATTCAATCATGTTATTGAACATGACTTTGATGAACCATTTCTGTTATACACTGGTGCGGCTTCTAACCCAATACTAGCTGTAGTGAGACAGACCCAAGGATGGGGAGCTCTTGGGATGCAGTCAGTGATGTTTGTGTCATCCCTTCCTGCATCCATTTTGCGTTGGGGGTGTCACGTTATTGATTTGAAGTGGGACCATATAGAACATGGTTGCAACCAAAGTCCTGTAGTGGCACCAAATCTTGCATAAAGGGGGGTCAAATGA